AGGCCTCATTTTAGAACTTGCATGCTATTCAGTTCCATGTTGGCTTCTGTGACGCCATGATCTCCTCCAGGCTTTCTGGTTAGCTTTTCTCAGTTTCTCTCACTAGTTCTTCCTTCCTCACATCCCTATGTAAGACATTTTCTCATTTTGTCTTCATCTCTTCTCACTCTATTCTCTATTCTTAGATAATGTCACTCCTTTCCAGGGTTTTGGCCACCACCCCAACTTGTGTTCCTATCCCAAGGCCTCCTAAGGCCCAGCCCTCCATGTCTACTCAACTATAGAATATATTCCCTTGAGTGACCTGTAAGCACCTCAAACCCAGTGTGTCCAGACCAGCTGTCACCTCTGAATTCTTTACCCTATGTCTAATTAATTCCATCTAAACTAGTCCTGAAATGCAGCTCTTATTTAACCTTCTATTTCCATGTGAGTTCTCTATTTCTAAACTTAGCTAACCCTTAACGGGATGATTTGAAGTCACCTTGAAATGGTCAGTCTAGACTCCACTCAACCTATGCTATTTGACAGTACCAGAGTTATTTCCCTAAATTATGTATTAGAGGTATGGGCATGCCTGCCCCTTCTTTAAAAACACTATTAAATGGCTTTTTTGACTCCTATCTTATATCTTTATGCACTCATTCTCAGTGGACCAAAAAGTGTTCTCCTAAACTCATTTGAACTCTCCGCCCACACTCTGCTACAGTTGATTCAGTCACCCTCCAAGTCACACCTCCCCCAGAGAACTTCCCCACGTACCCGTGGTCAATTTACCCTCTCCTTTCCCTGCACTCAGGTGGGTAGCCACAGCCCATGGTTGTCTTTCCCACCAGGCTGACTGTGGCATCAAGATTATTGGTTCTCTCTCTCTCCCTCACTCTCTCTCAAGAAATAAACTTTAAAACACACATTCCAGGCTCTCACAAGCATCAGAGAGTCTGCAATGACAAGAGGCCATGTGGAAAAAGCGTTGTTCACTATGTGCATTTGGCTAGACTGCTAGTGGTCTTCGCACGTGTGGGTGATAATTGTGTTGTTTATGCTCGGTCTCCTATAGTTTCTGCTTCATGAAACATCTCCATGTATATTCTCACCTGATCCTCATAACACAAATTATAAATGCCAGTACCATTCATGGGTTCCATGTGTAACAGTTCATAATACTAAGGATAGAGTGGCAGCTACTCAGTAAGGTACTCACTCACTCATACAAGAATGTGTGATCTAGCATGTGCTAGACACTGTTCTAGGTTCTAGGTTCTAGGTTCACGGTTCACAGGAGTCAACCAGAAAGGTCCCTGCCCTCTTGGCACTTACAGTGTTCTTGGTGACCCAGCCTCTGACCTCCTCCCCATTCTCTTCTCCTGACCTCTCACTCCTCACTCTAGCTACATGGAACTCAGGCAGCTGGCTGGACATGCCTTGTTAAGGAGGACATGCCATGCACTGCCACCAGCTCCCTCCTCTCCAATACCCTGCCTTCCTTCTCCAATTTGCTGATTCCTTCTGGGCATCACTCTTCAGGAAACTTTCTCTCTTGAACCCACTATATCTAACTGCCCATATATTCAGGTCCCCTGTGAACACTCATCTACAAACTGGCCTTGTGAAAGAGTTCCACAGATGCTCCTCAACTAATAACGGGGCTACATCCTGATAAACCTTCATAAGTTGAAAAGATAGGAAGTCAAAATACATTTAACACATTTTACTGAATGTCCTAGCCAGCCTGGCCTACCTCAATTATGTCCAGAATACTTATGTTAGCCTGCAGATGGGCAAATTCATCTCCCACAAAATCTCCTTATAAAAACGTGTTGGCTCTCTCCTGTACTTTATTGACTGCTACATTGAGAGTAAAACACAGAATGGTGGTGTGGATACTGGAAGCACAGTTCCTTCGAATGCATGTTGGTTTGTAAGAGAAACCATCATAAATGGCAGATCATCTACATGTTCAGATGTTCATTTGTAGTTATTGTTATCTTTTCAATGTCTCTTATTTTTATTTTTTTAGTTTTCTTTTTAGTTTTTGCTATACGTTGCCTGCACTCACCAGACAGAAGCAAGAGTGAGAGAGAGAGCATGCAAGGATCCGGGGGGAGGGGGAGTGAGAAATTACCCTTTCCCCAGGGGAAATGGCCACATCACAGTCTCTTCTCCTCCAGTCTTCTTTCAGGATTTTATACATGCACACACACACACACACACAGTGTACTTTCCAAGTTGCCAGGTCCTGTACTTGAACCACGCAGTCAGCTATGTGGGATCCAGCACCTCGACCTCCATGCCACCTGCTCTGGCCCAGTATCACATATTTTCTTACTTTCAGTGAACATCAATCATTTGGAGCCACTTGGCATTTGCCTTCCCCACTCTGACCATCACTGGAGACCCTCCCCTTCCCTGAGAATCCCACAAAACAGTTTGACTCCTCACAGAATCTAGAAGTAGAGGATAGAGCTTTCTCCTCAGGACACACAATCCCACTACCCTGAGTACAATCACTGCTTTTGAGAAAGAGAATCAGATCCAAGTCTGTCCAAACCGAGAGAAGTCCAGAAATGTCGTTGGGCCACTATGGAGTGAAGTGTGTAGTCTACAGGAAGGGTGTGGTCCAGAGCAGCTGTCAGCCAATGGGTGGCCACAGGCAGTGCTGTTTCAGAAAGGGGCCGGGACAGAGGTGGCAGAGCTGAGAGCTGGATCCTGAGCATGTAGTTATAGAACTGGACTACCCTGTTACAAAAGCCAAAGCCTCACCACTCATCCTCTCCCCCTGCCTACCCCACAGGAAGTCTGGGCTGTGTTTTCTATCCTGAAAAATTCACTCCACTTTAAGACTGGGGTAAATACATGGTATCTACAATGTGTTGTCTTTTATGGTATTTTATAGCCAAGTCTTTGTCCTTTCCTCACACACTTTCATAATATGAAACCAGTCACAGGATTTTTCCTCATTTTGTTTGCCAGAGTTTAGACTCACCGACAGGTAAGGGACCAAAGCTTCCTGAAGTGGGGAAGAAGTATATAATCGTTGGGGAGCTTCCCAAGAGATTGAGAAGGAGGCGTTTTCCCCAAGGGGGGCTGCGAGAAGGAAATGGATGCTCTTCTCTCCTCCAGAAAATACCTGGACTTCTAAGATGGTCCATACAGAGTCAGGGCTTATTTTCTATTTTCTATTACTCATGGGTTTACCTTTTATTCAAAAAAAAAAAAAAAAAACCTCTTCTATACTCCCCGAATTTGAATCAAGTTTCCTGAGTAACTAAGTTGTACAAGCTGCAGTTCCAATGTAAAAATGCCAGTTAGCCTTTCAAATGGGCATGATTAAAAACAGCCCTCTGCCGCACACGCTCATATTAAATTTTTGTCTGACAGTGAGGTTGGTTTTAAGTTATGGAGATTAACTGAAACTCAAAGAGAAACTTGAGATTCCTTGAAAATTGGGGATCTATGTAATAGGCTACTGACAGAAATGGTAACTATTTGCCTTATGTGAACAGAAAGGTGCATTTAATATAGAATCATTATGATTCATATTTTATTAAGACAAAGCAATGACAATGAAATTAATCAAAGGGAAAGACAATTAATCTTGTGGCCCGTTAATACTTTATCCAGTTGTTCTAAAAGGGGTTTGTGACCATTTCTCAAGGACAGAAGCCACAGAATATTTTGTTGTGAATATGAAGAACGACCCTCCGTGTGTACCTTTACACACACACACACACACACACACACATCATGTCACACACACATGCGCACTCACCCATGGAGCATGGCACTACAATGGTTAGCCGCTTGGAATTTGAAGTCTGATAGACACTTCCTCACTGTACCTTGGGCAAATAACGACCCCTTATATGCCTCAGTTTTCTCATCTGAAAAATGAGGAAACAGTGACTTCCTAGGTTATAATAAAGATTAAATAAAAGTAGCAATTTAACATCCTTAGTATAAGGCAAAATATAAACAATTACAGCTAAAACTTGAGTTCTAGGCACTATCTTCTTTTTAGGAATTATTTTATTTACTTTAATTTGACGAGAGAGGGACAGAGCAAGAAAGCAAGAGACAGAGGGAGATGGAAAGTCAGAAAGCAAGTGACCAGGTCCGGGACTCGACCCGAGGTCAGCCGTGTGGGAGTCCAGCGTCCTTAACCACTACACCATTTGCCAGCCCCACTGGGAACTGTCTGAATTATGCACTTTATAACTGTTAAGCCATTAACAGGTGTGGATAACACCCTACGGTAGAAGAAAATATTAATATGATCTTCACAATATGAACAAAAAACTGAGGCCCAAGGTTACAGAACTATGATATGCCGAAGTTGACTCGCTGTATCACACACCCAAGAGACAGCGCATGGCCGCCAGCGTGATCCAATACCCACAGATCCTGTTTGGTTTTCAATAGAGTGGTTACAAAAGAAGGCTTTCATTTCAAGAATTTCTATCGAAGGGGTTCTAACTAGCGAACTGATCCCGTGGTAAAATTTGACAGTGTTACAAGATCTTTAAAAATTAAGTCAACCGAACCACAAATTTCTCATTCCCCAAACATAATTACAACATGAACTTTATGTCAAGTGGGAAAAAAGTATGATATTATAACCCCAACAAGCGGGCAAAGTATTTGCATACAGCTGATCAGGCTGAGAAAAGAGGCCTTGTATAATTCCACCACAAACTACTTGTGTCAGTTCACTGAATCTGAACTTTATCTGTGATGGGGTTTGATTAAATCAGCCCGTCTAGATATTGGAATCGTCCAAGAAGGTGTAAAGAATGTATCTCTGGTGTCCCCAGAGAGCCTGGTCTAACTGGCCTGGGATACAGTCATGGCCTGGAAGGCTCTGAAAGCTTCCCAGGGATTTGAATTTGCAAGCAGAGTTGAGAGCCACCAGACGAAGTCACCCCTAAGTTCCACTCAGACGTAAACTGGCATGATTCTGTGTACACACCTATGAGACCAGGAAGGGAAAACAGAAGTACCTGAAGCAGAATCTTGTTGCCATCGTAGTCCTGAGTCTGCCACCTGGTGCTACTGATGGGAACACACGGATGGGGTAGGAGCGGCACTAACTGGCCGATCTCTTGCACCTGGAACTGCAGCACCGAGGAGTCTGTTGGGTCCACTGACATTCCCAGGGGTAGCTGCTTCAGGGAGAGCTGCAGAGCAAAGCTCTCAGTGGCATAGAGCACAAAGAAACAGAAGTTGCTCTTTTGCACGGAGACCTCTCTCTGCAGGATCATCTCGTAGAGTCTGACGGCGTCCTCGTAGTTATCGAAACTGCAGCAGAGAGTCACCCTCAGGATCTCGGTACCGCAGTGCACCTGCCTCACACCCCACACAGGCATCTGGTTGTCCAGGCTGTAGAACTCTTGATTGGCAAGAAGGTAGGGACACAGCCTCCTCTGCACGTCCTGGGTGGGGTAGCACTGCCATGGCGAATGCTGTAGGGAGTCCAGAACGCGAAACAGCCGCTCCTCTCCGAGGTTTTCGTGCAGGAAGAGCAAAACAGACATCCCTGGGAACCGGGATCGCCTGGGGTGGTACTTCTCGTCGTATTTCACTGGGCTGACCCTTTCTGACACCAGAAAGAGACGGACCTCTGGCCAAATGCAATGCAGGAGTTGGTCCAGCGTCTGTTGCAGAAGTAAGCCATGCCCAGGGTTGGCAAGAAGATGTATGGTCATGGCCAGAGGCTCGTGAGGCTCGTCCATGGTGGAACTGCCTGAGGATGACAAAGAAAGTGAGCGTGAAGGTCCCCTCTTCAAGCTTCTGAGATGAAGGACAGAGTAGGTGAGGCCACGTTTGTTTCTCACGCCTTGCTTCAGCCCACCAGCACACCTTCAGTGACAGCAGCAAACTCAGAACAGAGCCCTTAACCAGGTTCGCACAAGTCTGGGCTCAGTCGCCTCCCTTACACACACCAGCAATAAGATTGACGTCATCCACATTGTGCATAATGGAGCTGCTTCTGTTTGGCTTTTTCAGGCATTC